GTGTGTGTGTGTGTGTGTGTGTGTGTGTGTGTGTGTGTGTGCGTGTGTGTGTAGTGTAATGTGTATAGTTTTGTGGACAAAAAAATGGTACGAAGATCGAATTAAAAAAAATGGTACGGACGTTATGAGCGGATTTTCATTTCACGGCACGTAATGTGCTCTGTATATATTCTCTCCTTTTCTCTCTCTCTCTCTCTCTCTCCCTCTCCCTCTCACACACACACACACACACACACACACACACACAACACACACACACACAACACACATACACACGTACACACACGCGCGTGCGCCCGGACCTAACGGGGGTGTAAGGGGGCTTTTGCCCCTCGCCTCCAAAGAAAGGTAGTTAGGCCTACATTACGGTGTCAATGACGGTCATCGTAATTCCCAAAACACACGACGCACGTGGTGTGTTCCCAAGGAAAATAGATTAGCTATACGCTCCTGTATATTATGCTATTATAAATAGTAATACAACAGCTGCGTGCATATGAAAGGTTAACGCCTAACCCGACGAAATGTTATCATACAGAAGTATATATACAAAGTCATACGCGATACGGATTATACGGTATTATAGGGTACGATACGGAACTTATATGTGTTATTGCGGTGATATGTGCGTTTTTATACTACCGCACGAGATGGTGCTGAAAAGTAAACTGACTATAGCAATCGTACGTTCTGACGTATTTCGCTCTTTCCGACTTCGATCGACAGATCATACAAAGAGAACAAGTTGTAATAATAGTGAGACAACGGAGGATTATGTCTTCTATAAAAGCTGCTTCCTAATTTCGTTTTCGCTACGAAAAAGTAAAATTTCTGACTTTGCAACAAAAACGCCCACGACACAAGTGAAAGTTGATCGCTTGCCATAGATCTTCGTAAACACATCTTACATGTACGTAATCGTCTGTATTATTGCCAGAGATCGTTATAACGACACGCAAAAACACAGACACCACAAGCACACGTGCGCCTTAACTTTCAGTCCACTCACTCATAGAGTTGTCACTCCAATCTTTGGTCAGTCTTTTGAATAATTCTAACACTAGCGCTAACAATAAAACTAATATCTATATATGCGCGGGAGGAGACGCATACACGCGACTGGGGATAGACACACAGGCAGCCAGACGCGTGCATGTTGCTCGCAAACAAGCGCATTTTGTTCACTTTCACAGCACAAGTGGCCCCGTTCGTCAAATAAGGTTTATTCCGTCTCCGTCGACCGCGTCGGTGATAATTTATTAGATTACTTCCAGTGAGTAAGAGGTTACAGGTAAACGCCTAATCGCATAATCTCACCAAGCATGCATAATCTCACGAGAATTAGCTGCCACGTTTGAAATCGAAAAATCTAAGCGCAAATTTGCAGGCTAACGAGACGACCACTGATGGCTTTACTGTGGTGTGTGGCTGCGATACGCATAGTACGTCATTACGCCGCGTAGGGAGCTTAATTAACTGTAAATTAGATAAAAGCCAATTAATTCAAATTACGGCACATTAATTAATTAACACATTAAAACGCTTAATTTATTAATTAACCGTCACTTCATTAAGAAATATACGGTGCGCTGAATTGTTGTGCGAGTACCCGCAAATTTGGAGTAAGTGTAGTATAGACGAGCCTCTCACTTACGCGCCCGCGCCCCGCGTAACACGAGTCCGCGCAACAGCAATTTGCGGGGTAGAGCGTGCCTTTATGGCTCTCTACCGGGGCTACAATTTTATGGCCGCCATCTTGACAAGTTAGCGACACACTCGGGTCTCCCTCTTTCTGTCACGTTGGTCTGGGTTTTCTCCTCGCCCTGCGTTTTCCCTGTAACCCGGTATCGGTCCCTTTTCCTTATTCTATCTCCGGAGCCGCACACCGCCGAGTGATTCCTGGTATCAAGCGACAACCTCAGGTATAACCTTTTTACGTTTGTACGCGACACGCGCGCGCAGAGGCGACATACGAGTCGGCTCTCTAGGTATACCTATATATATATACATTGCACGCGATACGCGGCGCAGCCTGAATAACATATTGTACGAGTAGTAGTTCTCTTGTTAGTGGTTTACACTCATATATATATTATACGCACGTCCAGTACATTACAATTCTGTGTTCGTGTTATTTCTATCGGCGTTCCCCGTCAGCTACCTAGGGAGGATACCCTCCTGCAGCCGAACCGAGAGCCTGGGGTAGGTGAAGCAACGGCTTCACCTTGCTACATAAGAACGAGATGTCCATCGAGTATTCATGGGAAAAGCTTCTACACGACTCTGTATTTCTCGTCATTCAGAAATTGCGCGCGACATTTAATTTAGCAGTTAAGCTTCACTGTCAAGCCATTGGAGTAATTTACTGTAATCGAAGGGAAAAAGTCAAGAAGTTAATCGGGCGACACCTGCCGGCGCGAAAAAAACACGTTAGCGGCCCTATAGGGCGTGGAACAATGTCTAACTCGATTAACAGGAATACTAAAAAGCCACTAAAAGTTACTGTTAATACAACGAAGAAAAAACGGCAAAGCTGCAAATTGTCGCGATATTGGGCGTTACTTCTATAGTCTCGTCATAGAGCCAACTATAACTATAGGATACGAGCTGCCTCGGCGCTTTGCGCCTCTGCAGCTATAGGATAGGCGCTAGGCGCCTCGGCATCCGGTGAAAAAATGCCCCGTTTGAGAGCCAGGAAACTTTGAAACCATGAAAACTGCATAAAATTTGGCTGTATTTGTGTGCATATTTTGTGCATAAAACAAAATAACAGGTGTGCGCTACACATCCGCTCACATGACTCACTGGCTTCGCTTGTAGCTGGCTGTCTACGGTCGCGCTGAGCAGCACGGTATTATGGTGCGCTGTGTGTACGCGGGCGAGCAAGTGCATCACAGCAGTAGCAGCAGCAGCAGTAAGACACGCGCCAAATATCTAAATAGAGGAGATGGCGGGCAACGAATCGATTTATGACACCTAAGAATTTCTGCAACTCAGTAAATCTGTGTGTGCTGATAACAATTATTTCTAATAATACCATACCTCGATACGACTCGTCTACGACCAACCTACTCTGGTTATCACGCGCATCTTTCGCGTGTCTGAGATCGTACGTGGCTAACGCTTCGAGTAGAGAAGCATGCGGCCTTGCACGAAGCGGAAAGGTAAATATGTGAGAATAGTGTGTGCACTAACACAAGTATCGATATCATCAGAAACTAGGGCGTCGAGGTTTACTCGAATAAAATCTTTATCAACTCATATAGATAGAGGGCGAGAGAGAGAACGAGCGAGAAAGAGGGAGAGAGCACGAGAATGAGCGCGAGAGAGAGAGCGAGAGAGCGAGAGCGTGAGATAGAGAGAGAGAGAGAGAGAGAGAGAGAGAGAGAGAGAGAGAGAGAGAGAGAGAGAGAGAGAGAGAGAGAGAGAGAGCGAGAGAGCGCGCGAGAGAGAGAGAGAGAGAGAGAGAGAGAGACAAAAAGAGAGAAAGGTGTATCGGGGGAGCTCGCGTGTTTTAGACGTATGTGTACGCATCGCGCAGGATAAACCCTCGTCTGTGAGATTTCCTGCGCGAAAGAGATACGTGTAGTTATTGAATTGCCATAATCCTACCTGATGATGATGATGACGATGATGCGCGGAGATAGTCACGTCGACATCGATAGGGCAATCATGCTCGCAGAGTTCCGACACTATGATTATGTATTGGTAATCATCGTACGTGTTTGGGTCGTCTACTGTAGTGACATCGATCGATCGTCACTGCTAAAACAGTGGCCGTATTGCCGTGTCATGGGATGCGTCTAATTGCTGAGTGTCCGTGTCGAAAACGCACCTCTCCAGTTAGCCGGCGAGTTTTCAACAGTAAGTAGGTGAAAGAACTCAATCGTTCTAGTTAGCTTTAGGAATTAGCAGCTGTGACTATAATATGCGCGCTTCCAGTGTTTGCTTTATAACAGCCGCCCTAGTTTGTGTTAGGAATTAGGACTGAAACACTCGTGCTCTCTCCCGTGTCAGTTCATTATCGTCATCTATAGGTAGTAGCATATTCCACCGTTGTCAGTGCGACACATATAATACTGTAATACAAGGGGGATGCATTGCCTAAATCCGGCCTTCTTACTGAGACTG